AGTCAGCCATGTGTTTGAGGTGAGGTTGTTTGCAGTGCATCTACCCAGGACCGACCGACCCATGGCTTGTGGCCATTGTGTGTTCTGTAGCAGTCCCTATACGTTAGGGCTGATTGACTCTAAGTCCTCTAATATCTCAGTCTTTGATGTGTCAGGGCTTAGCTCGTTGCAGGAGTTGTATGTACAGGTACGTTCACTGGTTCAACTCTCCGCTCTCCCAGCTGTCTCCCACCTCAACATGGAGATTGCAGCCACCAATTTCACCTTCATTTAGTATACATTCGATGAAGGAACATGTAAAGTAGGTTTTTACTGGTGATTTTTCGGGAAGGTAAAATGTTATTTTGTGTGTCATTGTGGTGCCTCTCACCTGGGTGTTTGCATGAGTGATTTCTAAGTGGTGTGTTGATCAGTGTAGCTTGGATGGGAACCTGCCTGTATGCTCATCACTCATCACTCTCCCTCCCTGTGTCACAGACAGTTGGTGGTGTTGTGAGCCGACATTCAGGGTGGTAGGGAATCCTTCAACCATTGAAATATGAGTCAGTCACTAAGTATGTGTGAAATTGTACATGGAGCTTAATAAAAGCTAATGGGGTATTTTTATATCTGTAGATGTGGTATACCGGGTACGTACCATTCAGAATTGTAGATTAACATTGGTTGTTTTGTCTTTTGCATTTCAAAATGATATTTGAACTACATGTATGTTTAATTTGAAAGAGACTCCTAATTTTATAATTTGTCGTAATGATATAGCATTTGGTTTTATAGATATTACATGAATTTGTGTGCTTTATTTGATTTCTACTTCACTGTTTGAAACTGATGTGCACAGCAAGACTTAGTCTTTGTAGTAAAATTATGTAAGAAATAATTTTTTGAATCAAAATTATAAATACTGGTTTTGAGCTAATGAGATATATATTGTGTCATAGAATTCCTTGATGAAGTTTTGAGATGGCTGTGCCTCGAATTTAGTTTGTAACTTGTGACCAGACTGGTGCATTGGTAGCTTTGCCAATTCAGGGGGATCTTGGGGCACTTGTAGTCTGTTGCTGAAGGATTTAAATCTTGGAAACCCTCATTCTTTATTTTAACAAAAGGGTAATTAAAAGAAATTTTTGAATGAAATTGCATTAAATAGACATTGTTGAAGGTTGATTATCGGAGTAGAACTCTTATGTATGGATCAGCTGACATATTCTGTTTGTGGACTAGTTAACTCCCAGCATTGACATTAACAACCAATCACACAATATGGTCAAACTGAATAATAGCTTAACATTTAGAAAAAAATAATGTAGGTATGCCAGTAATAGAATTTATTGTTACTGAAGTGGCATTTAACAAATTGTCCAGCACTTAATCCCCTGTACAAACAACCATGTTGTGGTCTCTTGGCTTGCGGACCTCTGTTGTATATTATATATAAGGATTAGTCTAATCTGTGGCCTGTATATGCCCAAACATTCCCTGGCTGGCCACTACTGTGTCAGCTGATGAAAGGACTTGGTGGGACACGGGTAACGCTGGCCGCAGTTGGATGGAGATAACCGACCTGGCTGGGGCTAGACCTGGGTTGTCCGTGTAGGTAAACACAGGCCAGCTGGAAGTTCCACAGTGCAATTACAATGGATTGGTTTCACCTGTTACCTTCACCTTGGCAATGAAAGGTTTTAGTGTTCAACAGTTTTGATGTCTGGCAAATCCTAGGTATTTCTATTGTACTCTATTATTTAATTTTGGTTGTGATCAGTTTGTGAGCTTGGGATTACGAGGCATTTGGCAATGTTCTGCCATATCACTGCATGGCACACCAGGAGGATTCACACACTGTATTCATCAAACCCAGACATTTGCTGTGGCAAATGAACACTTTATCTATGAAGCTACCCCTGGTTGGTCTTGATCTAAAGGCTTTAGTCTTAAGTGTGTGTATTGTCATGAAGAATGATTTTTCTGCTTCAGTTTGCCACCTATGAGAAGGGGTGACTATTGTGATTTCTGTGATGATGACATGGAGAAAAGATTGAGTCAAATTTTTTGTCAGTTAGACCACCCGATCCCATTAGTCGCCTAATGCATGGGTTGCTGAAGACCTATTCTAACCCACATCTTCACGGGGCCCCTTGTCAGTGCACAGTCACAGTAAAGGGGATGAATTGCATCTTCATAATGGGTAAAGTCATTCATCATCTGCTAACATGTTGCTGAAATAAAAGCAATTAGTTCTTGGATGATATATGATGAACATTTAACATAATAATGTCATTGATGTGTGAAATACTTCCTTATAGTGTATGCAGTGTTGGAAATTAGTAGGCCCTTTGGTATTTTAGATGTACTTAGATAATTTAACCAGGAACCCCATCTTAATTAATAGCGTTATGGTAATGACAACAACCCTTTGACTTACATTCTTAAGTTCAAAACCTTTGTTGGATATATATATGTGCAAAACCCCTTAATTTTCTCTCTGACCATTGGGGGCACTGGGGTGTCCAGGTTCGATTCCCCACATGGGTACAATGTGTACCCCATTTCTGGTGTCCTCCGCCGTGATATGGCTGGACTGTTTCTAAATTCACACATTCACTCACTGTGACAATTGTATTATCTAATAATTAAACATGACACTACTTGTTGTCTTATTACAACAAAGTCATTGTACACATTTACTATGCCATTGCAATTCCGGGTTAGAATTGGTCCCCAGCAACCTATGCTTGTCATGCAGGGTGATAGTTCGTCAGGCTAGGTGATTGTGTGTCATCATGCCCCGATGGCATGGTGAGTTGCTCGCAATATCAACCACTGGATTGTCTGGCCCAGTTTTGATTACTTACAGGCTGCTGTAATGTAGCTGGAGTATTTCTGGGGGCGTTGTTAACAAGAGTCCACCATATTTACTGTTGCCACAATGGGGAAACACCTAACTAACAATGATTAGTATGCTTCAACAATTGCTGGAATTTTTATGCAGATAGCAGATTATATTCCTTTTTATCTGACTCATATCCTCAACAATTTGTACATATCCTGTGTATGAGGAAAGGTATGACACGACAGGCAGTCGTTAATCGTGTCACTGTGGCGAGCTGTACACATGCTGCAATACTCGACTGGCAAGGCTTTTGATTGGAAGAGATGCATGATTTTCTGAGGTAAAATTCTTAATCATAGCCATTTGATAGATTCTAGGTTTTCTGATGACATTGATTGGCAGTCAAGTTTGAGTTTGAAATATTTGATATGTTACATTTGAAAGTTTGTTGACACAGGTGATCTATTATGTATGGATGCTTGACTTCAGAGGTGCATTGCCTTGCTCATGGTCTCAGAATCTCTTGTGGAGAAATATTTTGTATCTTATGTTAAGATTTTAATATGTTGGTTGACAGTGTATGTGGAGTACAGAATGTTTTGTATTTGCTGATGTTAATATGCACACACACACACAAATGGTCATTGTGCCACTGTCCAAAGCAACTGCAAGTGATTTGAATGCAGTATGCACTACTTGCATGAATGTCATCTGCGACCTGACTGCCACTCAGACATTAGCCTTGGTTTCATAAGTCACAACAAAAACATATCACATCACGTTGACCTTCAACTTTTTGTCATATGGATTCTACAAGGTGTTCTCTGAAGCTTCCCTGAAAGAGTCACTGTTTCGTGAGAATTAGATTTGCCAGTTTTCTTATGTCTATACGATTTGTCTCAGGACTTGACAGTTGTTGAAATTAGCTGAGTGGTTTTATCTTGGTTTGTCTACATGTCTACCTTGGTGTGTGTGTTTGCTGAGAGGACAGCAACACACCCAGAGTCGGTCGATGTGCTTGTGTCTGTCCCCGTCTCTATAGCTCCTGCTGGAAGAACCAGTTGACTAAACCTGACATGAATCCACATGTTGTGTTTTTTGTACCATACAGGTTTAGTTTTTGTCTGAAACTAATTTAAGTTTTTTACTTGAAAAGAATACGTTTTCGAGTACTGCATGCTTGTACTAGAGAAGACTGAACATGGGAAGGTGTGGCCATAGGAATAGAAATAGTTCTTAATTTATGACCACTTAAATAGTAGGGCTGGGACGGGAAACTCGGGTACCCGGGTCGGGTGGGTACTCAGTAGGACCCGGATACCCACAGGACTACCCGGACCCGTGGCTACTCGCGTGATATATTGTTTTATGACCAAAATTATCTAGACCTCTATGGTTACACTACAAGTCACTAATGTTCGCATTTCTTTCTGACTATGCACCCATTCCTTCTGATTTTTCATATGGTTGAATAAGATATAACTTAATTCAACTTCAGTGCATGAATGACCAGATTGTTTAATACATGTATCTTAATAGGTTTTGCCAGGTCTATGCTAAAAATGTTCCCATTCGGACATTTTGAGACATCTCCTGAGACATCTCCTGAGACCTACAGTGGGTACCCGGGTAGGGTCAGGTAATAGGCGGGTGGGTACCCGGGTAGTAAATTTGGACTCGTCCCAGCCCTATTAAATAGACTAGCAGGCTGATTAGGGGTGTCACACCCTGATGTGTTGAGTTGGGGTCGGGTTGGGCAATCTGGAGGTTAAGCCAGGTTTTGATGCCCAATTTGGGTACAATGTGTGAGGCTAATTTCTGGTGTTCCATGTCACAATATTGCTTTGATATTGCTAGAGTGGAGTAAATCGCTGATCACTGATTGAGTTTTTTTCATTTTTGGTGTGTCTTGTCCTGTGTGAAAGAATAGACATCAGCTATTTCCCACACTGGACACACACCACACTACATCCCAACTTCTGTGGATAGATATCAGCTTTTTGCAGATGTCAGATATAGAGAAAGTTCTTTCTGTACCATTTTCCATTGAGCTATCGATAACATATGAAGCATCTCCGTTGAATATGGAGGTTTGTGTTTACTACCAGGGAAAAAGACAACATCAGATCAGAAATGTCCTTACACTGTTATTTATGTTTTCATTTATTTCCAGGAGTTCTGTGACACGTATGAGTGGAGATCAAAAGCAGAACGTTCTACACAAAACCTCCGAACAAGAACGTGTAGCGCTTGAGACCAACAAGTTCATTAAGCGTGGCAGTGACAAGGTTGATAGTTCCGGTAGTGAAGAAGAGGGCAGCACAGAAACAGGTTAGAGTTACCTCCCATTTGTCATGGCTAACATTAAGTCATTGGGTGATACAATTTTATGCATGTTATTGGGGGGCGCTGGGGTAGCTGAGTGGTTAAAGACCCGGGTTTGATTCTCCACATAGGTACAATGTGTGAAGCCAATTTCTGGTGTCCCCGGCCGTATATTGCTGGAATATTGCTAGAAGTGATGTAAAACCAGGCTCACTCACTCACTTTAGCGTAATAATGACTGTGGTTAGGGTAACCTCCCATATATCAATATCACTAATTGAATCACTATCACTGAGTGATGCAATGGTTGAAGAGCAATAAAAGATTATTAGCAGTCCTTTATTTGAAGGTTGAATTGTTAATTTTGAAACATATTGATGATGTGAAGATAATCAGTTGTACACAGTATTATAATATTCCTTTGTAGAACGACAGAATGAGATCAACAAGCAGACCTCGCAGACAGACAAGGTAGGTTACCTCCCCTGGGGATTCACATTGCATGTTTCACAATTCTCTTTTCACATTTCAGTCAATCATGAACAATTTGTATGGGACTCTGTACTGCATGCTCTGGGATGAGGAAAGTGAGATTACAAACAACTTCATAATTGCTAGGTGTATTTTCAAAGAACATACATGCGTTTTCCATGCACCACAACATTTTCAGTTGATTGTCTACAATGTTATATTGCATGAAGAGCTTTTGAAATTTACAGTGAAGGCTCCTGCATTTGAATTTACGAATGTCTCCATTCTAATTTGTCAAAATTTGAATCAAAATGTTGCTTTTCATAATTCTAAAGTATTTGTTATGATTTTGTCAGTGCTCTTATATCATGGATTTTGAAGTACCGTATTCGACGTAATAAGCGCCCCGCTCTAATAAGTGCCCATGCCGATATTTGCTAATATATTGGTTAGTGAATAATCCCAATTAGCGCCCCTTCCAATTGATCAATGTACACAAGACTTATTTATTCCTGTATAATACGCACTCGAGTGTTATATGTACCCTTAATTATGAGCAATTAAATTCTGGAAAAATATATCTGTAGTATATAAACATTTCAGGCTGTCAGCATAAACCACGAAAGTAATCTTTCAACTCTATTTATTTCACCACAATATTAATTAATATTCTAATAAGATCCCCCTATTTCTGATTTTGAAAGTGCCCTGGGCGCTTATTACGTCGAATACGGTATTAAGAATCCAGCAATAAAGATGTTGATAATTATTTGAAAGTACAGGATCTTGTAAATCAGAACTACAACAGGGTAAATTGAGCACTGTTTACTTTCACAAACAAGGCACTGTACAATCAACATAGTGTAGGCCACACAGTCCACTCTCACAATTGCTTAAATAAGCAGCAGGCTACATGCTTTGAAGTTGCACTTATGCTGCAAATGTCACAACACATTTGCTGTGCGCCGTAGGTTGAATTTCTGTTTTGTAAGGGAGACAAGTAGCTTTTTCAAAGGAATCGTGCATTTAAGCTATGAGCCACTTAGTCAATGCATGCTAGCAAACACTGTGAAAATAAGACACGGATATATTTTATCAATGCTTCTAACAGTGCTTTTTTACACTAAGAATATTTTTGATGCGAAAAACAAACACAGACCTCTATAAAAGCAGTGTACAAGTGAATAAACATGGATGTAAATTTAGAGCTAGAATTACCTCAAGGCGATTGTTTTGAACAGAATACTTCAAACTGATTACTTGGCCATATGTAAGAAATAAATTTAATTTTCAGTTTGTTTTCCAAAATGGTGTAATGTAAAAGAAACTATTCAAATGGAATAATAATTATGAGAACGTTTCACAATGTGTATATCTCCGGCAAAATGTAGGTTTAACAAATACAGAAACGTTTTGCGTCTCCTAGTTGTTAAACTCAGTAGCATTTATTGTGGACAAATTGTCCTGTGTATGAAAGGTGAAGTATCTAGGACTGTGATGTTGAAGCACTGGTAGTGACTATGCATGGAAGACATCACTATGTGTACCAGTAGTAGTTCCATAGCAGTGATTGCCTTTATCTGCATGCAGCCTCAAGAGCGAGACCATACTCCGACTCGTACGGAGGTCGATAAGATGCCAATAATAGATGAGGTCTCCGAAACAGAAAAAATCCAGGAAAAGGAAAATGTACCAGAAAAGAATATAAGTCCAGACAGAGAAAATATCCCCGAAATTGTGGAAACAGAAAAATGTTCTGAAACAGAAAACACTTCACAATCGGAAAATACTCCTGAAACGGAAATTACTCTGGAAACAGAAATTACTCCAGAAACAGAAAATACACCGGAAACGGACAATTCTTTGGAAACAGAAAATACTCCGGAAAAGGACAATACTTTGGAAACAGAAAATACTCCGGAAACGGACAATACTTTGGAAACAGAAAATACTCTGGAAACGGACAAAACTTTGGAAACAGAAAATACTCTGGAAACGGACAATACTTTGGAAACAGAAAATACTTCGCAATCGGAAATGGAAACTATCACGGAAAGTGAAATAATCCTCCCTGCAACGGATGAAACCGTATCCGTTAGCAATGGAGAGTCTGTTGAGAATAGCATAGAAGAAGTAAGTCAGCGACTGTTTATTTCAACGCTTGCGTATATTTTAGTGAAATTATTAACAATTCATTATAAAATCATTTTGATTGAGTGACATCATCTAATTCTGTTGAGAGTGATGAGTGTGCTGTCTACTCATCTGATACTGACAAATTAACTCTGAATATTCAAGTACCCACTTCAGCAAATATTGACAAAAGTTTGAAAGGCCAACCGACTTGCGACACTTATTAACCCAATTCTCCCTGCTTTACATGTGGTCATTAGGGGAGGGGTTTCAAAATCAACTTGACGTTGTAACTCCCCAGAATACTGATTATTTTATATCGGGTGTGGCCATCATCAGGGAAAGTCAAGCTGCACTTCAAATGATTTCACTTCGTTTGTTAGATTAAGGACCAGTATTCTTGGGCTTATTTCTTGGGAAAATTTAACAACATTATCTTTTGTCATTTGATTTTGCAAAAATAGGAGCAGTGCACTTTACCGGGCACATGTTTACATTTTAATTGATGCTGCACCTTCAGCCATAAAACAAGGCTTATGATAGCAAGGGGTACAAGATTGTAAAGGCAAATAAATTATTATTTTAAAACACAACTACAGTCCCAAATTTTCTTTTGATTTATTCATCTTTGGCCATTATTCTTTTATTTCTTGGATATCACAAGTCAGAGGAGGAAACCAAAAAAATAAAGAAAAAAATGTTGACATCAGATACTCATTAGGGGCGGGGGTGTCGTTGGTAATAAGACAAAATTATGAATTTGCCATCTGTAGTACCATTGTCTGCTGGAAGCTATATGTTTTTGTGGATATTTCTTGGAAGACAAATGGAGTTATTTCAGCAAAATCCACGTATGAAGGACAAAGGACGTAACTTGAGATATATTATGCAAGGAATTTCCCTATGATTCGTCAACTGAACAGTTTGGCTATATATTAATGTCAAATTTAGCATCATAGGTTTTATGGATTATTTTTGTTTTTAACACTGAGTAATCACAATAATACTTTGCACGTATGCGATGTTGGTGGAAAATAAAAAAGTGTATAATTGGATTATTATATTTTTCCTATTTTGAAGAAAGTGTGGTCGGCGGATCTCTGTGATCCAACAAATAAAACAATAATGGCCTTATCATATGACTATAGTTGGAGAGTGAATGGAGCCGGGAGTTTTTGGCGCCGGACTGTAAAGAGTATGGAGGCTAATTAAGCGAGATCTATTACTGAAATGCAGGCAACTGTGCCCGTTAAACTGCACCTGTGGCAAAATATCATACAGATGAGAAAACAAAAGAGGACATCGCGGAATAAGGAATCAGTGAAGCAAGTGTCATTACTGTATGATTTGTATGTCAAAATTGTGGAGCACTTAGAGCAAGAGTACAGGTTGCTGAAGCTGATGAACTAGTGCGTTAATGGAAGACTGATGGTAAGCTGAGACCTGCATTCATTTGGAGGATGGAATAAGTTGAAAAAGAACTCCCCCATGGACCTCGCCGAGCTCGTTCATGCTTGTGACTGCTTTACTCAATCTGAAACTTGATGCTCCTGCACTGTGCTTAAACACCTGGATTGTATTCCACACCTTGCAACTATTAACTGATTATTACATAGCTATATAAAAGATTATACTGGTTCAAAATACTTATATTAATATACAACTCATAGAAGCATCATTTGAAAAAAGTAGATTGTTTGATCTAGAGCAGATATTAATTTTAAATAACTTTGTGAGTATTAACGGAGAAATTTATATATTGAATTATACTAACTGCTTGTGACGTTTCAATTTCTTTACTGCATGGATCTGTGTCTCTTGGTGAAATTAAGCTTAGGGTCATCTTAAAATATCTGGAGCTATAGGTATAGTAAAAACACAATACTACTTGTATACCAGTCAGTGAGTAATTTTGTATAATATGCTTTTAACAAATATAACCAGCTCTATCTGGTGTTGAGGAGCAGTGGAGATACTATACACGGAAATAATGACACCTTGTATGTGACATATATATCTAACCAATGCATGTTTATATTCACATTCACTGCAATATATGTGCACTTGAAATATTTTATTTCTTGCCAAACATTAGTTTCACATAAATACCTTTCATAGTTTCATGATATATATTCTATATGCATGTGTATTGTGTGTACCTGTTAGCAACTTAAGCATGCCCATTTTCTGAATTCTACAACTGCGTCCATTCATTGAGCTTATGTCCCTTTACATTGCTTTTCTCAAGGAAACACCCAATTCCGTTAAAGACAGCAATAAGTCTCTAAAGGATTCCTCTAACTCCACAATTAAGGATACCTCCATAGTTCCTCCCCCCAAAGAACTTATTTCAAGGTCAATCAGTGCACCGTCCAGTCTTCCAACTGATGAAGAGGTAAGATGGTGGCTGCATGAGTATCTCCCCTTAGAATTTCCCAGTTATCTCCCTTTGACCATCTAACACTCTCCTTCCATCAGACGTCTAACATGGATGCACCAAGGTTGATCTTTGACTTTTTGAATGGGTATTTCACTTTTTCAGGTTTTGAATGCATTATTGTTTTTATGTTGTGATTTTATCATATTATCAGACTTTGGCATTTTGAATAATAACTTCCAAGTTAGTTTCACAAAAGAAAAGTTCTATGTTGATGTTTATTTTCCATTAAGTCGCATGGAAATATGATTAAATCTGCATGCAAAAATGGATTTGCTGACATCTAACAGATTTTAATTCAAGTCTGGTAATAATATATGGTTTTGTTTATCTTTTTCATGTACAGCAAGAAATAGATTGTTTCACGGCTGAGAATTTTTGCTTTGATAAAATCTGGTTCTTGCTGTTCATGACCGTATGTCTCTTACCATGAACCTTCTTTTCACTAACATATAGTTCTGTCACAAATGTACATCTACCAATAAACACTGTAAACAACTGGCACAGTCAGGGTGTTGGGACATGTCAGTATATAAATGGTATTGTTGGAAGTACATGCAAACTGTACCATTAAATATATATATATATACACATATGCTTTAGTTTTGTCAAACTTGTAATAAATACAAAAATATACATATATGCATGATTATTCACAATTTCGTAAGGCATTTTAAATATAACAGGCTTATAAATTTATATAATCAATAACTGGCTTTGAAGTATAGTTTTATGGAGGCATTTCGTCATATAAAATCCCACAGTAGTGATTAGATGACATCATCATTTGTACCCGTGGGATCTGCTGTTCCAGCTATCCCATGGGTATAGCTTGTGATCTCTGATCTGACTGATTGTGTGTCATTACACCCCAATGGACCCGTGAAGATCCAGGTTAGAATAAGTCGTCAGCAACCCATGCTTACCGTAAGAGGCGACATTGCTTGTTTGAGGAGGCGACAATACTTCTTGGAATAGGCGACAATGCTTGTTGGAAGAGGTGACTAACAAGATCAGGTGGTCAGGCTCACTGACTTGGTTTATGCATGCCAACGTATCCTAATTGCATAGATCAATGCTCATGATGTCAATCACTGGATTGTCTGGTCCAGACTTGATTGTTTCCAGACGGCCGTCATATAACTGGAACATTATACAGAAAGCTGTCGTATTGTTGCCACTGATTGAATGATGTCATAAAACTTGCAGACAAGCAAATTTGTTTTTAAAAGATCTGATGGAAATTTGCTTGAGTTTAGCCCCTGTGAGTTTTATTGTTGCTTTCAATGAACAATGACGTTAAAATCCATACAACCTTTACTAACAAATTCTAAAACCACTAAAAGAAACCATTGAGAGGAAGTCAAATATATTGGGAAAAATTATCAAAGTGATAAGTACAAATTTGTGACACAACTAATGTGTGGCGAAAAGGGGAGAATTCTGACTGCTTGAAGCCTAATTGCATGGTTTGTTTTCCTTGCGTGAAGGGCTTGAAAATTTCGACCAATCACAAGTCCCGAGACAATGACTACTCTGCTTGGAGAGCAGGCCTTCGGAAGACCGGCAGTACTAGCATGGTGCATGAAAGAATGAGCAAGGAAAATGAAGATGATAGGTCGTTACCTAGATCTGCATCTAGTCCAAGACTAGCTTTTGATCCAAGGATAGAGGACGTGAGTCAGGCTGCTGGCCAATCAAAACTCTTTGTTACAGTTCTTGTTTGTGTTTGTCTTCCTGATTGGTAGAATTATTAAGTTGTTCTTGCACCATGTCTTGTGAGTTGTGCTACCCCAACTGTTAGACATGTAATAAATTGGGCTGATACTAAAGTTTTACAGATATGGCATGGAATGGGAAATATTTCTACACATTAACATTTGATGCAAAATGTCTGTTTGTTATAAAAAAAATGATTTTGATTATTATCTTTGACCTTTGAAACACTTTTGAAAAGTTTATAAAAAACAAAAAAAAATTCTGCTAAGGCTGATACATTTTGAAATTAATGAACATGCTTCTTAGCTCATTACAGATTTATTCTGCCTTTTAACCTGTTAATCTTGAGGGAGAATAAGCCTAACTATAATCATACATTTATCCAAATATTGCTTGGGGCAGTTGGTAACTTATGAAACATTGACTTATTTTGTAATACACTGCAGTCTGAAAACTGTCTGAGCTTTGCTTGCACAAGTCTTCTGGAACATCTATTGTACCTGTGTTGTCATTGTTTCATTTTGAATCAGTTAATATCTTCTCTGCTTTGTTGTAGCTTTTATATTTTAGTTCCTATGGCAATTATATTATAAATCTTTGGGGCATGGGTAACAATGAAGCACCTCAAGCACATATTTACTTCTTGTTCACATAACATTTGCAATAACTTTGATCATTTGAAAACCATTTTATCAGCTGGAATACTTTTTAGCTTGATTCTTTTTTCACAACTTAAATTATTGGCTGCTTTTTCAGGATCGTAATGGTACAAGAAGATCTTCACAAGGCACTACAGGCGTTTCATCACCAGACAAGGGAGACGCTAAAGTAACTGATAGGTATGTCTGTCTGAAGACAGGTGGCAACACAGAGTTGTCTCCCCTGCTGATTGAGACACTTTGGATCTTTTCAAATAGGTGCTGTTTTCATTCAGCTACAGAACATACTATCAGTATACAGTCACTTAATGGTCTCATGGATTGTCTTTTCATTGCATTCATCTTTTTGATAACTAGAAAAGTAAGCAGGCATCATGGTTTGTAGCCATTGGTAGACAGGGAATGAAAATGAAACATGCATGTCCCTGTGCTCTTACTGTCACCTGCTTAGAGGTTCGACCCCTGAAGATCTGGGAAGAGAATAGGCCTTCAGCAACCCATGCTTGTCATAGGAAGCGACTAACGGGATTGGGTGGCCAGGCTCACTGATTTGGTTGACCTGCTATATATGGACAATGATTAGCTGAAATATTGCTGACCTGTGAGAAACACAGTTCACATGCTGATCACATGATCATCTTAATTAAGAATGCTTCTTTGATATTCTCCAAATGCTTCTACAGATTAACTTGACAATATGTTATTTTTTGTCTAAAGATAATGTTTGAAGCCATTGTGTTCTTTACTGTAGTGAGATTCCCTGAGATAATTTTATCATCTTTATTGAGGGTCAAAGTTTATATATCTCATACCTTTCATCACTATAAGTGAACATCTTTGAGGCACCCTGAATATGTAATGTTGCACCGACTTGGGTGAAGGGGATGATGACAGTGTAACAGGATCACAACCACTACCCAGTCTCATAATTAGTCGATCTTTGTTCCATACAATACCTCTCTGTGTGAAGATTTGCCAAGCTCTCCACAGTCAGTCGGGTCAGGTGGATTGAGCCAATTACATGTCAGCTTTCTAAAACTATTCAGCTCCATTTCTTTGTCCCTTGTTTCATAATTTTTGATATTAACAAATGAAACCCACACAGAAGACAAATATTCTCTTGATAATAAACCCTTTGTGTGAATGTCATGCGGCTCTGAAACAACAGGATGGGTTAAATATCCATAACAACATGACATCGCTGCCTTAATTCATTTCCATTTGTAAATGTCCATTTATGTTCAGTTTTGAGAAAGAAATCAGACATCCTGCTATGAATGTTTCAATCGCATGGACCAATTTTGAGAAGCCTCAACACTGATTGGCTGATTAGAAAGTTCACCTGACCTGACCTGTCCTGCTATGGAGGGTGTGTCCAATCTTTACACAGTGAAGTATGGAAGTCGCGAGTGAGACCTGGTTTTAATGAGATTGACTCAGTTTCTGCCCTGTGGTCCCACCTACTAGGGACTACTCCCAACACAAGCAAAATATGGCTATGCCTGTTTGGACTGTACACCTGGTCTTTAGCCTGTACTACATAGCTGGCATGGTGTTATAAGTAGATGTAACACTGTAGCATTCATACCTCTACTCATGTGGGCATGTGTTTCATTCTACCAACTGTTGCACTATATAACATTGCTGTACTGCTCAACTTGATGTACAATATCTGTTGCTCGTGGCTTTTGTCATCCCTTTGGTAGGCCATCTCATGTCCCTTATTTCTAGTCCTGTATTGTTCCATAGATGTCTTTTGATGCTCCAGGAGAGTTATCTGCATGTTGTACATCAGTTAGATATCGATGCAAAGATTGTGATCTGAAGATTTGAATTTAAGAGAATGTTTCTTATCCATTTATCAGTGGCATGATTAACAAATCGGGGTGATATATCGATGAGCAATCTTTTATTTGTAGCATTGTGTCTTAAATTGGACATATGACAAATGTTGTTTGATAGACTATTGTTTTGACTTTGGTGACATCACAAAGACCATGTCCAGTGTTTAAGATCAAGCATGACAAGGGGTCCTTGTCAGAACCTTTATGTTAAAGGTTCAAATTTTAGATTCATATACTATAGGATTTATAAAAAACACTTGGACCCCAGATCAGCCTCATTTGTGAACATTGTTATACATGCATTTAATAAACTCCAGGGGCATGGGTGGCCCAGTAGTGTTTAAGTCCTGTCAGGTGTACAGAGTTGTGTCCCTTAGCTACCAGGATCAGCCGGGTGTGAGTTTGAATGTCACATTGTCTCCCTACAACCATTGGTCCGTCAGCACCATACCCATTGCAGGGTTAGAACTTAACACTAGCCCGGGGCTAGTACAAAGTGCTGCTGGCTAGTACAAATTTCCCAATTTTCCATGGATTTAACATTACAAGAGCATTTTATCTTTACATGGGCGAGTAAAGCTTTTGATTTGATTTCTAACCCTGCATGGTCTGCATTTATGTGAGGCATCTACAACATGTGTGACCTTGGGCTCTCGTCCCTCTTTAGGCACACTCGGGTACAACTGAAATATTATTAAAGGGAAGTGAAACCCACTCACTGACATATTGCCCAGTAGACCCTCCTTGTAGGAAGACATAGAGCAGCAGGATTGTGTAACTACTCCCTGTGGTGATTCTGGGTTAGAGTAGGTCTCGAGCAAACAATGCTAGTCATAAGAGGCAACCAAATAGATCAGTTGGTCAGGCTCTGTGACTTGGTTCATTGTGTGTCACCATACCCCAAAGGTGTGGATCGTTGCTCACAATGTCAATCACTAGATTGTTTGTCCCAATTTGAAATTAGTAGAGAGCCATCATATAGCTGGAATACTGCTGCGTGCAGAGTTAAACAACAACCAAACAACCATCATGTAACCAGTACAACATTGTCTCATCTTCATCCTGTGCTTGCCCTGTCCACTACAGCCTCCATCATCCCGGGCAATATTTCTCCTTTCTGTGATACATACCCTGGACCACTCACCACCATAGCTTCATGTTAAGTCTTGTAGTATAATCGTCACGCCGAAGACCCGGGTTCGATTCCCAACATTGGTACAATGTGTGAAGCCCATTTCTGGTGTCCCCTGCCGTGATATTGCAGGAATATTGCTAAAAGCGGCATAAAACCATATTCACTAACTCTTGTAATATAAGCACCTACCTTGCCCTGTTTTAATACTCGGGAAAACGTCAATTCCGGTGTAAAGTTCATTTGAATATGTCAAGAACTTGTTTGAACAAGGCTTCAATTTTGAAGGTTGATTTATGGCAAACTCACATTCAGAAGAGGCATTTTGTTTGATTTGGATTTCAATATGTGAAGAGGAGAAATTCTGTACAAAGTTAGTGATGAGAGAGATGAAGATATGGTGGCATACGGGTCAAGGGAATATGTCATAATGTAACAGAGATGTAATTGGGTTTTATTGAGTCAGCATTACCTCATGGGTTCAGGAACAAGTCAATTATAACCTAGCAGTAGTTGTATGCTGACATTCCACTCACATGGTCCAACTCAAGACATTCAAGGTCAGCAGTCTTTATGGAGATAACTGGATGGAGCCTGAGTCTCCAGGTATCAAACATTAAAACATGGCCTTGATCTTGTGGATCTCAAGATAATCATGTCAAGTTATAAGTGAAAATGACCCCTTTTTTTTTACAAAGCAAATAATGTGACTTTGTGCTCCAAGAAGACCATTGTTTTTAGACTTGTCATTGTAGCTAGCAGTGAGTGGAATATCAATACTTTCATGGGTGAACTTTCTGGTATCAATATATTGGATCAGGTTAGCTGAGTTTACCACATTTATCCTTAGAGTGTAGTTAGCTCTCAGAGAGCCACACACACAATATCACAACTGTTCTTGAAACATGACCAGTGATAAGACTTACAAAGACTTTCCTGGCCTTGTTTTGAAGATGTCATCTTGTGAAAACAACTATTCTTTTTGTGTTTGCATCATCTAAAGTAACTTTGGACAAGGATGGAAAAAGGGACATAATTCTACAACCTATAATCATATTATTTCATTGATTTTAATGAATTAATCATTTTGAAGTAAGACTACTTTGATCCGAAGTCGGCATTTGTGGAAATGTTACGTATGCTGTAGATCTGTTATTTAGCAAGGATGTTATGATGATTTGTACTTGGTGTCTGCGGTTCTGATATTGTGTGTGTGACTTGATACTGATACCGCAGGTTAACACACTTGCTGATGCACATGTAGCAATGAGGAGAGTAGAAGTAGGACTAGTTCTGAGTCAGCATGCCAATCTTAGGGAAACATTCATTTTCTTTCATACGCGTTGCATGTTTCTTCTTGTCCTGGTAACGAATGTTCAATACCCAGCACACAATCTCTACTTTAACTGCAATTTAATACGTACTGTTCGTCTCATGTTTTAGGATGTTGCAGAAGATTAGCAAATACTCGGCATTTCCCACTCTGAAATTTCTTCCTTGTCACAGATGTGTCCTTGCAATATGTGTTGTCTGAAGGATTATTTGTAATCTAGGTTGGCATGTCGATCTATTTGTATTTACTTACATACAAATATGCAATCTCCAGAAAATGATCAAAATGTGTTTTTGACATTTGCTGTGTTGTTTTTGTCAAATTTCCAACATTGTTTCACGTTTGAATATGATTACACGTTTGGGTGTTTTCTGGAGATAGCAACAATATACAAGTACCTACAACAATGAACAAGTCAGTAGCTCAAAGTCTTATCCAAATTGACCCTGATATATACAGGAAGTTAGCCCACCCATAGCTTCAGTTGCATCCCTGAAATGCATCACCTACCCATTGATGTACAGCTGTTTGGTTCTGCTTCCTCAAACAATATGAAAATAGGGCTTTATTGGTCAGTAATATGACGTAAGTGGTATCATTATTGATGCTATTTTGAATGTTGCCAATGCATTCAAGTTACTTGGCATTTGGCTCAAAAACATTTTTATATCTATTTATCTTTTTCCTAAAATCCAAAATTAATTTCTGAACTCAAGAATCAGTGATGATCATAAAAGCTAACCATATTGTGAAACTATATTTATTTGTCGGAGTTTAACAACCTTATCATGATAACGAATGCATGATTAACATTTATGTTTGAGCTACTGACAAGCATGTTCTGTCAATTGTAGATATACGTGTATTAGGGATGTCACGACACAACTATCTCCCGATACGATACGTATCACAATACTTTGTCCACAATACAATACTTAATGCGATACTCAATTCGCAGCATGAATTCTTTTGCATGAATTTTTACATTTTATAGGGCATAAACAGTATCAATAAGCCTTGAAATAGCAAAAGTGCCCAAACAAAATGCACATTAATAGCCACATGTGTTATTGTATTTCGGCAAGCGTCATGCTGTTTTAATTTGTGAATTGATATGGGATTAAAATATGAATCGATATAGAACTTAAATATGAATTGATGTGGGCGTGAGTGTATCGCGTGAGAACATTATCAATGTATTGGTGAATCGTGACATCCCAAGAATGTATGGAACTGCCTGTTTGTGATGTACATTGCATTGCTTCTTGTTTTGTCGTTGTGGCGACCGTCGACCCATGCATGATGCATGCCATACTCTGCTTGTTCGTTCCAGGCATAGTCATACAGGGGGCAGTATGGACCAGAGTAGGTCCCCCTACCGCAGTCTTTCTTCCTATAACTCCTCTGGCCTCACGTACCATTCTCAGTACGAGCCGTATTATCGCAGGATGAACGATCGTACGAGTCGCAAGGATGGCCAAGATTATCAGGATAGAATTATTTCCAGAACACCGTCCATTTTGTCCACGGTCACTACAACAACTGGACCCCTTTCCACGACGACGGTTAGCACGACGTCTGTGTCATCAGCAACTACAACCGTCACTTCACCGACGACCCCCACTAGTACCAATTCAGTATTCAGAAGGTTTGTGTCCTTATCCTCAGTTTTAAAGCAAAGATTGTTAGACAATCTTCAACAAAACTGGTATCCATCATTAATGAGTTCTCCCAATTATTTACTTAACAAGTCACTTCTACAATTTGAAGCTTGTTTGTGTTGAGGGGGCACGGGTGGCCCAGTCGTCTAAGGGGCCGCCATTCGCTGTGCAGAGTTGCGTCCCTTGGGCACGCCAGAAACCTATGATTGTGGGTTCGAATCCCGGTTCGCCCCAATTAGGTTTCTAGGTTTGTCAGCACCATACCCGTGCTCGTGGGTTTCACAGAAGTGGTAAACGTCTGAGACCTGCATCACTTCGGGCTTTCCTCCCACATCAAGCTGACACGCCACGATATAACTGGAATACTGTTATAAGCGGCGTTAAACCCAACTCACTCACTCAATGTTTATGTTGATATTGCTCGATATTTAAGAATATGTTTGGCAAAGTTTAGAAGTGGCTAGTTTAAGCTTTTAACTGAAATTGGCAGATTTAAAAAACGTGCAATATCATTTAAGACTGTGTCCTTACATAACAGTGATTGAATTAATGATGAATGTCATGTGTTTTTTGTTTGTGAAGCCTTCATCTCTGTAAGAAGTATATACTGGGCAACTACATAAGTACTCTTCAGCACTCAACACTTAACAAAATTAATGAACTCAGAAACATTTGATATTGATTGCAATGTAATGTAATGTATCTATGCAATTTTAAAAAAAAAGGAATGGTGATGTTTTGTTCATAGTATAGGAGTATATATACTGTAATAATGCTCTTGCAAGTTATACTGTGGCCCTGTATATTATTTAGAGAGCCACTAGGTCCATGCCACGCATCCTCCCCTTTCTAAGTGTTCTGCTGTTTCATGTCATCAGTGTATATACTGACCACCCCTTATGGTGTTAATCAGGTTGTATGAACCTCGTAGATTGATGAAGAAAACAGGAAAGAGATAAGCTGCTATCTACATTATGTGCAAGTGTACAGACTAACTCGTGTTTCTCTGTTCAGGTCTTACGAACCTCCCAAACGTGATGAAGAAACAGAAACTCAAAGGAAAGCCCGGGCCAAGCGAGCCAGAGAAACAAGACGATCAACGCAGGTATATTCCTTCTTCACATCTTCAAACATCTTCACTTTCTTAAAATATTTATTTTCACACAATGTGATAAATGACACTATAGAATCTTTAAGAAGTTAAGAATTCTTGATGTCATGATCATTAAGCTTTACATTTCAATCGATTTATTAATTCTTTGTGTGCAGTTTATGGTAGGAGTTTGTTAAACATTTTTCATCGTTTTAAGTAAGAACGAGGGCTGCTATATCAGTTCATGTGTAATGAATCACACAATTTGTAGGTAACAGTATTGTATATGGGCTGTTCATCCAGACACTTGACACATCATTAACGCTTTCATATACTTGTCAGGGTGTATCTTTGGAAGACATTGAAAAGGCTGAGGAGACACTTCGAAACTCCTCAACCGACAAAGACCGAGAAAAACTTCGCTTATCACAAAAGGATGTGACGGACAGTGCCTCTACCGAGAGTAGAGATGTGCCTAGAGACTCAGGCAGAGACTCAAATAGAACTAGTTCTAGTTTGCCTTCCAAAGACACTTCTTCCGAGGATACTTCTTATCGACGGAGAAACTTGGAAGAACGTCATGAAGTAAGTCGGCACAAGACCTGCTGCATGTAATTCCTGGATGTACCACAGTCGGAGTGTTCATGAGGCTGCTCTGTCAGCTCCCAGCCTACATAGTTGCAGTTTCTCAACCCACATTGCAGCAATCTAGAGTGTGAAATCCACACAGGAAACCCACATTGCAATTAGCTCCAGCTAGAAACCCAGTTATCAAACTAAGATCACAATTACCTTGTGCTGAAGTTGTAGTCTTCAAATCCAGATTGCAAGTTTCTGTAGCAAGGAATGCATTTCCCCCAACCAGATTACTACCATCTAGCCGGCTACCCAGTCTTGTGCTGTCTGAAACAGTCTGTAGCTAGATCTCCAATCATCGGTCCTAGATTTCAAATATCCTTTGCTTGGAAGTCTATTGTTGAAGTCGGTTCACATCATTTTTTTATCTAAAGTTACAGTTATTTACACCAGATTGCAGCAATCTGTACGTAATTTTCTTCAGTTCAAATAACAAAATTTAGATTGCAACAACTGTAGACAAAACTGCAGTATCTGTATGTATGTTTGTAGATGTGTGCGTGGATATTGTAGTATCTGAGTGTGAGAACCAAAAGAAGTACTTGCAGATATATGTAAATTTTATTGCCATCTCGGTGATGATACACAACTCGATAACACGTGACATATGTCACTGGGAGTGAGTTAGCATGTTCATTTATTTGTTTGACAGTTTTCTGCCAATGGTAACATGGCCTTAAGTGGAAAGAGTGTGTTTATCATGTTCAGTTATGTGTTTGGCAGTGCTGGTACAGTCCTTGGTAACATGGCCTTGGGTGGAGAGAGAGAGTGTGTGTTTATGATGTTTGTTTGTGTGTATTGGGCATTGCTTGCTCTGTCAATGGTAACATGGCCTTGGATGGAGAGTGGTAAGTTTATCATGTCCACTGAAATGGTGACGTTGACTCAGATGGAGAGAGTGTACAGTAATGTGTTTGGCAGTGCTTGCACTGTCAATGGTAACATGGCCTTGGCTGTTTCAGGATGATACTAGGAGCAGTTTTCGAAGGTCTCGAGATCAACCCCGAGATTTATCAAGTTCCAGTAGTCAATATTCTTCAGATAACTCTACATGTAAGTAGACAAACAAAACCCATAGTAAAGTCTGTGCCAGTTAGTCAGACTGGATCCCTGCTAAGTAAGTGAGTGGATGTTGTTTCATGGCAGTAAGCCATGGGACAGCTCATCTTGACAGTCTGCAAATATCAGGCCATGGCCAGGCAAACCAGTAGTTGAAGCATTAGTGTGCATCCATGCTTTCAGGGTATGATGAACCGCATATTGTAACCACCGATCCTCAATCAGGTCATGTCTTTGTCTTACAACATGCTTGGGTGCTTGGGACTTACCCTGCCTGAAGGCCAGTGACCTGACAGTGTTCTACAAAGGAGACCATCTCTGTGGTCGGGTGGACAGAGTGTCTGACTGATAGGGGAAGGTCAGTGTTCTACAAAGGAGACTGTCTCTGTGGTCTGGTGGCCAGAGTGTCTGACTGATAGGGGAAGGTCAGTGTTCTACAAAGGAGACCGTCTCTGTGGTCGGGTGGCCAGAGTGTCTGACTGATAGGGGAAGGTCAGTGTTCTACAAAGGAGACTGTCTCTGGTCGGGTGGTCTCTGGTCGGGTGGACAGAGTGTCTGACTGATAGGGGAAGGTCAGTGTTCTACAAAGGAGACTGTCTCTGTGGTCTGGTGGGCAGAGTGTCTGACTGATAGGGGAAGGTCAGTGTTCTACAAAGGAGACTGTCTCTGTGGTCTGGTGGCCAGAGTGTCTGACTGATAGGGGAAGGTCAGTGTTCTACAAAGGAGACCGTCTCTGTGGTCGGGTGGCCAGGGTGTCTGACTGATAGGGGAAGGTCTGTGTTCTACAAAGGAGACTGTCTCTGGTCGGGTGGACAGAGTGTCTGACTGATAGGGGAAGGTCAGTGTTCTACAAAGGAGACTGTCTCTGTGGTCGGAGGGACAGAGTGTCTGACTGATAGGGGAAGGTCAGTGGTCTACAATGGAGAGTGTCTCTGTGGTCTGGTGGACAGAGTGTCCGACTGATAGGGGAAGGTCAGTGGTTTCATCCCTTGCCTTGTTATGCCAAAAGATGTTGAAAAATGGCACTTGTTACCCTACCTGGAGCTTGGCATCTTTTTGGGTTTGTTTGTTCTTTAATGCTGCACTCAGCAATATTCCAGTTATATGACGGCAGTCTGTAAATAATCAAGCCTGGACCAGACAGTCCAGTGATTGACATCATGAGCATCAATTGATGCAAATGGGATACGATGAAATGCATCAACCAAGTCAGCGAGCCTCACCACCTGATCCCGATAGTCACATCTTACGACAAGCATAGTCGCCTTTTACACCAAGCATGGGTTGCTGAAGACCTATTCTAACCCGGATCTTTCAATAAAAATATAGCAAGAACTGGTCACCTCAAACATGTGAACTGACTGGTGTTGCATGTTGTACCTCGTCGATGTGGATGAATGCTTATACTACAACTGCTGGTTTGCCTGTCTTCGGCCTAACCAGATCAGCAGAAATATTGTTGACATTTTGATTGTCTTAAGTAGCTTTCACCCACATGCCTATACAGTTATGCTCCCCTGCATATACATCACCATGAATGTTTGATGAGGATGGCACTACAATAGCCTTGTGCATGTTGTCTCTTGGGAATGCTCACAGACACAGAAAGAACATGAAATCTGTCGTGCATTATTCCTCGCTGATTAAAAGAATTACCACTATGCATTTGGCCACAAGAAATTAATTACTAGTATATCCAAACAATTGGAATAAACATTCTACTTTTGGTATTTTTTTTATAATAAACTGTTGAAGTTATGTGATTCACATGAAACTTTAATGAAACATGAATGTTTTGAAGCGAGTGAGTGAGTGAGTTGGGTTTAATCCCGCCTTGAAGTTTGAACAGTATTCTAGTTTTACCACAGGGTGTCAGCTTAATGTGGCGATGCAGGTCTCAGATTTTACCACTTTGGTGAAATTCATGAGCAAGGGCATGGTGCTGACAAACCTAGAAAAATAATCAGGCCGAACTGGGTTTCGAACCCACAATTATAGGTTTCTGGTGTGCCCAAGGGACACAACTCTGCACAGCAAATTGAGGCGCCTTTGATGACGAGTGGTTCACTCACGAGGCTACAAATACGAAGGTTGCATATTCAATTCCACTGAAATATTAGTAACATTAACATATCCCTGCGACAGAGGGATAGTGTTCAGAAAGTTCCTACCTTGAGGTAAGTCTACATAAAGAAGGACCTGTAAAAACAACAAGATGACATTGGGAGGGATGAAAATCCAATGTTTTATGTATATTATTGCCATAAAACATAACTAGATTTGTGGAAATGCCAGGCCTTTCTCCCCCTGCAGGCAGATCACCATAATGCACCTGACTAATTGTGTACAGTAACTAAAACCTCCTCCCCCTTCACTACATCACAATGACCTACACCCTCTTCCCCTCACAGCAGCTTACATACCTCGCAGTCAGCGCAACGCCCTATCAACGTCTGACACCAACACTACAACTAGTCTAACAGGCAGTTCCGGTCTAGCACGCACATCCTCTTATCGAAGTCGGTTACGTAACGGAGAAGTTTCCTCTCGAGAGGAAGAACAGAAGACTGCCAGAGAAGAACCCAAGAAAGATGAAAGTAAGAAAGGTGTGTGCATGGTATTCCTTCCCTCCTTCCTTTGTTAATGGTCTAGATGTGAGAGAGGTGCTTGTAATTCTTTTTCATTTGTGACAATAAAAATTAATAATTTAAATTTTTATGTAGGGTGAATTAATTATTTAAATATGAGTGGCAAAAATGACATTTTGAAAAAGAAAATGCTTCTTAAATTTCAAAAGAAAAATACAAGAAAAATACAGATAATCCTCCCATGACATGAAAAATGCACCTCCTCACTTGAATGCTCTAGACCTTTTTCTGTATTACATTTCAATTTTTGTTCTTTTGAATAGTTTGGTTCTGTAGAATATTTCGTAAATTACTTGCATAATAATTCTATACAATAATATTTACAGCTTTGAGGCATTTTTCTCTAGTATGTCATTCACTTTTATGGGAAAATATGACTTAATGTAAGTATGAGGTTTCTTAGAATAGAGCTGAAACTTGTTCTTATGTTTGTACACAAGACTTTAGCTTTGTAAAATCAACAAATCTCTGAAAAAAGCATGTACTTTCTTGAGTTACCTGACAGGAAGTTTGACCCCACCCATCCACACCTGCCTCATGTGCATGCTAATTGTTCCTTAAAGTCAGGCCAGACCATGTCACTGCTTTCTGTGTCCGTAGTTACTCAGTTCTTTGAAAAGTTTCAGAATTTTGTTTTGAATTGTTCACTGTTTAGCATTCTCATTGTTGTCCGTTGTTTATTGTGTGTCAAGAAATAGGATTTCTGATTTCTTGTTTGATTTTCCATCACAATCTGTCATGAAGAAGAATTGTTTACTTGTTTGAATAAATTCTAGTATGTATTTTGGTTGTCAAATACAAATTATCTATCTTAAAGAAAAGATGTTTGAATTGCTGTCTGATGTTATTTTCAAACATGAACAATGTCTTGAAGAAAAGTTGTCAGAATGTATATGTTTCATAAGTTTGATGATTTATTGATTTTATTTCATTATGCAATTTGTAATTATATTTTTCCAATCAAAACAACTTTTTGAGAGATCAATTTTCCAATTCCTGCCTAACAGCATAGGTAATTGCTCAGGAATTTCATCACTGCTCCAGGTAATGCTCAAAGACATAATTCAAAGAAAAGGCTGATATTTCAGGAGAAATTAAGGAACTCTTGATGAAAGGTTACAACATTTTACTTGACAATAATAATGTCAATTTGACCAGAAAACAAACATTATAAGACCTTTCCTTTCGGGAGTTTGTTAATTGTTCCTGAGCCAGTGTATGTGTTCTGCCGGTGCTGACTGGTATTGTCTAATGGTTTGTAGCAGATCACGAAGAGAAGAAGGAAAGCTCAGCCTTACAGAAGCGGAGGGCGCGGAGAGAGAGACGCTCCACCGGCATTGTCACCTACACACCAGATGTAAGCACATGCACCCTGAGTTTATATTTCATATACCAACATTAAGACTGAGGATTCTAGGAGAGTCTTTGTCACTAATAGCACATGTGTGCCTCTGTGGTCTGGTGGATAGGGCTTGTGGTCGGTGGCCACAGCATGCCGAAAAACATTGAAAGTTAGTACTTGTTGCAACCATGCCTGGCTTTGGCATTGAGGAGCTAAATCAAGGACTGGTTGGCTCAGTCTGTGTACTGTGTCTGAGTGACTTATCCTTGTTTAACAACAGCATGGTATCTCAGTAGGCTAGCACTATTAGAATCTAGTACAAGCAGCAAAACGCATGTGTAAGCACATTTCTAAATAGGTGCAATATTCTTTAATGTGACATTAAACCACCATTACCCTGTACTAGGTGTAAGAGCCAAAGGAATGGGGTGGTGTAGCATGAACACCCTCATGGTGTGGATCATTGATCTTGTCGTCAACCACTTTTTCTCTAGTCCAGACTTCATTATTCACAGGCCCCTTTGATATAGTTGGGATATTGCAGTCCCAGGTTTATGACAACATTCTTTCAGTGATTTCGTTCCGGAATGAGTATCCTTGTTTATAATCTCTCTTTATTAGAGCAATTAGTAATATCCTGAAATATTGATTTATTTCCTTTGAACATTTCCTCAAAGATAAATTTGTATTGGTTCTCAAATCGTGTTGTTGAAGTCATACAAAGTCCCAGTGGTTGTGGTGGTGGTAGAGCTTAAAGGGGGACTTGGACCTAAAAATAAGGTCTTAATAGTCTGAATTACCTGTGTATTATCTCCCTTGGAATGCTCACACATCATCTCTCTTGCAGGATGACGAGGATGAGAAGGGGAAAGAGAACAAGCCAGAAGAAGAGAAGAAGGATGAGGTGAGTGATGTTTCCACTTTTCCTTGTCTTATTTCTGCAGGTAGCCCAGTGGTTGGTGGGCTTGCTCACAATGCAGGATGACTGGGTTCAGTCCCCACATCACTACAGTGCCTGGTATGTCCTGCCATGTTAGGGCTACTCACGGCCCACCTTGATGAACAGAAGCATGATGATGGAGGGCTGTTTAGTTGTAGGTTCACGTTCACTGCAAATGACCAGCATCATACCCATGTGGCTTGACCAAATCCACTGGGATGCTGCTTGGATAGAGAACAATGTTGGAAGGTCTGTTGTGCCCTTCCTGAATTGGAAACATCCCCTGTTGGTGCGGAGCAGTGCTGACACACACTATCTCATGCAGGACACAAGAAAACTTGCTTTTATGTATCTCTAAGTTATAACTGCACCCGGCTGCATCTTACACATTCATATTCATCCCATTTTCATTATTTGTCCGTCTCAGGGACACGGGTGGCCAAGTTTGTCACTTAACATACTGTGCAGATTGGTGTCCTTTGGCTGGCAAGCCAGGAGGTTGGATTTGTGAGCACATTGCCTGTACATATGGGATTCATCGAAGTGGTTGACCTGCCTATCCTTGACCTTGCCTCACCCCCTTTTGAAGCCCTGTTGAACAGAGCATTTACTCACTCATGTGATCCAATCAAGACTACGGGATACTACAATATGAGTTCCTTACTCATTCTTACAAGGGGAGCACCTCACTCACCCAGACGGGGAGATCCTCACTCCCCTCAACAGGGAGAGACCCACCCTCTCTCCAACATGGGGAGCACCTTACTAGCCATATCTAACCCTGAAGATTGAATTGATGTATTTGAATATGTCCCAAGGATGTCAGTACCGGACGTAAGAGTGACTACATTGGATTGCTGTTTGACTGGGCTGATTATGTGTCATTGTTACATTAGTCATTTGCCTTGTTCAGACTTGATTCTTTGCAGACGGCCATTATATAGGTGGAATTTTGTTGACTGTCGTAAAACAACATTCACTCACCTCACACTCAGTCCGACGAGGGGAAACAGGACCTGTGATTGAGCTTGTCTTATGCCAGAAACATACACAGGAGGCACTTGAAGAAGAAGAATATTTATTACATCAAATACTGGGAATTCCCAGAGCATAATCTTGTGCCAAACAATTGTCAACCCTTCTCTCAGCACTGGCAGAAGAATAGCACTGTGGATTGCTGTATGCTGTAAAGTCCAATTGCTAGCTTTGTAAACGTGACTGTTGCCCTTACTTAACCCTATTCCGTCCTGGTGGCCTGCCAACTAGTGTACACTAACTGTTCCTGGTTTCTTGTTGAAAACACATACTTGCCTACTCGGCAAAATACCTGGCAGGGATCCGAGGGCAGAATAGCTTCCCCTTTCTTGTAAAAGCTGTTTTTTGAGGATTGGATGGTTACAGTCTCTGATCTGGCTGATTGTGTGTTGGTGTGCCCCAACAATGTTGATCATGGCTGACACAACGTGTTTGCCTGATTCAGATTGGATTACTGCTGGAATATTGCTCACATCAGCATAAACATGCGGTCACACATTACAATTCTTTTGTTTTGATATTTACTCAATTTTCAAAATTATGTCCAGGATTTCCAATGGCATTCTTTAGGATATAGAAATTTTAGATAATTATGGTCAAGTTTAATTCATCGTGCTGACCTTAGTCTTGTAACATCTGATAAGTATGACTTTTACGTTTTGTTTCTTCAAGGAACTTGAATAGCCTATTTTTTAAATCATTGAAATAATCCCAAATGTTGTTTTCCTTTGGCTTGATAACAATTGTGGCAATCTTCTTGACCGGTAGACATACTAGTTCTTCCTGATTATAATGGTAGCATAGACAGTGTTTGATAGCCAACAGGACCAGTACCACAGGAGATGATGCAACGACAAAATGTTTTATACAAACACACTTATGGTGCAACCTTTATGTCACAAACATTCTGTCTATAGCTGTCTTTTCATTCCATTCAAAAATGACCAGCTGGTCAGACATTCATGACTTTAGAGTATCTGGCCCTGAATATTGGCGTTTGGACTAGCTTATTTGTGGAGCCCTAATAGAATGTTGAAACTTATTGGTGATGCGTGTGAGTGTGAAAAGGTGGCAGTAATGTCTGTAGCAGACAGATGGGATGCTACCTTAACTGATGAAGATATGGTGGGAATGGACCATAAACAGGCTGATTCATGGGCTGATGCAAGTTGGTGGAGAGTAGGTCAGGCATGCTACTGTCTTAGACTCCTGTATTCTTATATGATCTATGTAAGACACTGCAGAATTGCTGAAGCAGCATTAAGCAATCATCCCTCACTCTCAGAACCATTCCTGTGCTTGTAGTGGGCCTCATTATAGTGATAACATCTATGGCCTGCATCAATGGGCTTTCCTCCCACATCATGCTAATGCACTGTGATGTGGCAGAAATGTTGTACAATCATCCTTAAACTCATTCACTGACTATACATCCCATATGGTCAAGGTGTTGCCAATGCAACATTCAATTATTTCTCACTCACTATGGCTTACAGTGTCAAACACAACACATGATAGTGAAGTCCCAGAGAACCACTTTTGCAGAACAAGTGTACATTTTAGATCTTGATCAGTGATAGAAAGTAAAGTAACATATATCAAAGCCCTTAATAATGGCAAATTTCTATTAGTCCTTAGGATACCTCAACAATTGGGCAGTTTGGCAAGGACAATAGGACTAGTGCCAATTTCTAATGCTGTTGATTTGAAATTCCATTTCTATCCAGAGTCTGTTTCATGTATTATTCTATTGCTGAAATAACTTTTCGATAAACTGATTTTTCTGGCTGATTCTTTGAATCAAATATTCGAGAACTGATGTCTATAAACTTATTCATCATTGACCTGCCACTTCTGTGCCATCTCTGACTTGTGATGAGCAGTGTGCCGGAGCTCCCTCGCCCCTGGTGTGTATTAGCCCTAGCATGACTAATGCAGTGATTACATCGAGCAGATAACAGGGCAGTCCCAGTTACCCCGAGGTTTATGATAATGAGCTACCTGGGCCTCAGTGAGGTGCCTCCAGTACATTTCTCAGCTATGTAAAAAGTGGAGAGCAAGCTCTGAACTGACCAGGTAATGGGGAAATGAGTGCTGCATACGTTGTCAGTAGGTCTTGCCAGCATAAATCAGGGCTGCTTCTACACTGCTACCTTGGCCATGTGCTTCTGCTGCCTCCTTGACTTGGGTGAGGCTCTATTTCAACATAAATGTAATTTTGAAAGAAAAAGCAGTTTTATTGTTGTCTGGATCAGGTAGGCGGTGTGCTCTTGTGGACTTGTAGAAGAGATTTTTATCAGTGTAAACCTAGTATGCAAATATATTTTGGATCAAAGTCATATTTCTAGACTTGGTTAAGTCTTTGGAACAGTTGGAACATGCATTCAGTTGGGAAAATCACCACTGGTTTCAGTGGTACCTTTTGTGATGTTAATGGACAGACTTGACTTCAAATAGTGTGTGCTACAATTATTATGTAAACAACCAAAGCTTTGAGTTGTCATTACATTGCAGGTATGTTTGTTTGGAATGGTATTGTACTTTAGTGAAGGTTTGTTTGGATAGTAGAATATCTTATGACTCTGCAGTCTGTTTTTCAAAGTTAAAAAGGACTAATTAAGAATTCAGTTGAAGGCAATATAGTGATGCTGCCATTTGGCCATTTGATTCTGGTGCTTCTCCAGATGAGGTCAATGATGCTGTTATGCAGTACTATAGACAACTCCAGCTCGGGGCACTCATCAGCTAATAAGATAGAAACCTTCACCCAGTCTATCATACCACTGTAGAATGTTTGGAGGTCCAGCAGTGATTAATGTAAACTAATAATGCCAACAAACTGAAGATTGGGCAGGGTGGTCAGGGGTGAAGTGACCACAGATACACCTAGTCAGATACCTGGGGATGGGGACCTAGACAAGGGGGTTGGGCAGTAAGAATGGCCATGGATGAAGTGACCACAGATACACCTAGTCAGATACCTGGGGATGGGGGCTTGGACAAGGGGGTGGGGCAGTAAGAATGGCCATGGATGAAGTGACCACAGATACACCTAGTCAGATACCTGGGGATGGGGACCTAGACAAGGGGGTGGGGCAGTAAGAATGGCCATGGATGAAGTGACCACAGATACACCTAGTCAGATACCTGGGGATGGGGACCTAGACAAGGGGGTGGGGCACTAAGAATGGCCATGGATGAAGTGACCACAGATACACCTAGTCAGATACCTGGGGATGGGGACCTAGACAAGGGGGTGGGGCACTAAGAATGGCCATGGATGAAGTGACTACAGATACACCTAGTCAGATACCTGGGGATGGGGACCTAGACAAGGGGGTGGGGCACTAAGAATGGCCATGGATGAAGTGACTACAGATACACCTAGTCAGATACCTGGGGATGGGGACCTAGACAAGGGGGTGGGGCACTAAGAATGGCCATGGATGAAGTGACTACAGATACACCTAGTCAGATACCTGGGGATGGGGACCTAGACAAGGGGGCACTAAGAATGGCCATGGATGAAGTGACTACAGATACATAGCCAGATGTCTGGAGAGGGGGGCTGAACAGGAGGTTGTGGGGGGTCTTAAGATTGGCCAGGGATGAAATGACCACAACAGTTGTACAAAGCCAGGGGGGGGGGGGGGGGGGGGGGAGCAGGCAGAGCTAGAGGATTGGAGACCACTAGAGGCAATACAGGGGCTATTTCTGTACGGTTGCACTGAGGGTAATAGAACACTGCCAAACAGACAGGTGTTCAGGGCTCAAGGGCTTTAATATTGTGGTGGCATATGTTAAGGAATGCTGAAGTTCAGCTTGGCGGTATCACTCAGCAAGACATCCCAGGCATATCATGTGGCAGTAGAATGCTACATACATACTACCCTCAAATGGTACAAGCCTCACATTTCAAAATGAAATTC